AAGGGTGGGGGGAAGGGATGTATTATTTAGGGGAAGAGAGGTCCGGGCTGGGGCGCTGCTGGGGGAGCTGGCGCCGCCACGAGGGGGACACAGCTGCTCCACTGGGCTGCGCTTCCGGGTCAGGGAAGCAGGCCCAGGCAGGCGCCGCTTACACAGAACAAAGTAATAAAATGCCCACGGCAGGAACTCGAAGGAAGACCGGAAAGGGTTTCACTGGCTCCTGCGCTACCCCGCAGCGGTGTTTGGGGCTGACAGATGTGTGAGTGCGGGCCCCAAAGCCGGAATTTCCGGTGGAGGGTGTGAGGCCCTAGGCTGAGGTGAAGGAAAAGGGAAGAAGGAAGAGGGAAGAGAGAAGTGGGAAGAGATGGGGGAAGCGAGTATTGCCCAGGCTTTCTGGACCCAGGCCCCTGGCCCAGTGGGCTCAGATTTAGTCCTAGAAGCGCTACTCCTGGTGAAGGCTACAAAGGACCATTTCCTGCTTCAGACGTGACCATCGTGACCATCGGCTAGCAAGCAGGGAAAGTGGCTGCAGGAGAATAATATGTGCGGGAGACTTTATGCAGACGGAGCTTTCTGCACCTCCTCTCACCAGATAGCTGCATTGAAGGGTCTGAGTGATACTCTTAGTCTCTCTCTCCACTACTCTGAGTCATGAACTTGGAATCATGGGAGAAAGTAAGGAGGCTAAGGTGGACTGAACACTCCCCACTAACCTCCTCTCTCATTCTTCTGCCCCTCTGCAGGCCTAGCAGTGGCCCAGAAGAGTTTTGCAGCAATAGGGAAAGACTATCCTGTCTAGATTTTATAAACTAAGAGGAGTAGTAGCAGAGAGAATAGAAAAAGCTACCACACCAATCTCAAACTCAAAAAGAACACCCCTATCTGTTCTGTCAGTCCTCAGTTTTCAGCCCAGATCCCAGACCTAAAATGCTCTCCACCTGCTTCAGGGTTGGGCATGGGGAAAAGGGTCGGTCTTCAGAAAGAAGGCTGCCTTAGCTAAGCCAAGCTGGTGACATGCCACTTGGCAAGTTCTTGGGTCCTCTCCTGGGCCCAGAGCCCACATGGCCAGCTCCAGGGGCATCATACGGATTTAATGTAAAGGGAAAGATCTAAAGCACAATCGGCAGTACTGGCTTCTGGGTCCTAGATCTGCTTCCCATCACATTCCTCACACATCACTGGTACAGAAGACAGGGTCTCCCAGGTGCTCAGGGCTGGGGCCAGCTCAGGATGGGGAAAGCCTTCCTTTAAGGGTCAGGGCAGCCTGATCTGCACAGGCAGATCTCCAGGAGGGCGTACATCTTTCTAATTCCTAGGAGTCACCCATGGTGCTGGGGCAGGGGGTGTTAGACTTAGCCTCACTCCTGCAGAATGGGCCTGGATGCTGTGTACAGCTGGGAGGGCCCACAAGGGGTGGGGCCTAGAAATCTAGCCAAAATGGGGTACCCCAAACAAGGGCAAAGGACAGTTCTTTGTAGAGCAGAAGCAAGAAGGAAATGCTCAAAACCAGGGGCCAATAAAAATTCCAAAAGGACAGGATTTGGGGCCTCTTGGGCCTAGGCTAAGGTGGATAAAACATGGGCCCTGGAAGATTTGGGGATGGCAGGAAGGGTGGGGGGAAGGGATGTATTATTTAGGGAAAGGAATCCTTAGGCCTTTCTTACCCATCCTGCCCATCTCCTCCACCTCCCAAGGGTAGCTCTGTCCAGAGCAGGTTAGGAGGTGAAGAGCAGGCTAGGTAGGGGTCGTGGGGAGGAAGGCTGGTGCAGAACTGTGTGCGGCCTGGCCGCTGGGTACCTGGGTCTCGGAGAGGTTAAGCTGCCGGGCGAGCTCGGTCCTCTCACGGCCCACCACGTACTGGCAGCGCTGGAACTCCATCTCCAGCCGATAGAGCTGCTCCGCGGTGAAGGACGTGCGCGTCCTCTTAGGCCGGTCCAGGTCCAGGCCCTTGGGCAGGATGATCTCTCGGATGGACCCCTTGGCATCTAGGGAAGGGGAGATGTCAGCCGGCAGAACCCTCCCATCTCCCTCCACCTCCTTGGCCCGAGCTGGCTTTGGGGACACAGTCCCCAGAAGCGTGCAGTTTTGGGATG